AAGCTTTTAGAGGAAACTGACACTGATTCTAACCACTCCAACAGCTATCAAAATACCTGAAAACAAATCCTGAGTCCATCACTCTAGAATCCAGCCTTGGCAGACAAAAGAAAAGTGAGGAGGAACCCAATAGAAGGATGCTTTTGGAAGCTCTCATCAAGAAATTCCAATGGATTCTCATATGAATGAACAATATGAACATTTGAAATTTGCCCTGTTCTGACTTTTTTCTAGTTCCCTGTCTAGAACTTGAAATGCTAATTACTCTTGCCTTTACTTCTCCTTCACATCTCCTATTCACCAGTCAAGGACTTTCTTTTCCCCCTAGAGATAAGAGTTATGTGATTTGGGAGTATTTTAGATAGACCCACTGAAGGGGTACCCCAATTGTCACTCTGCATCCCTGTTCAGCATGGAAGAAGCCAGAGTGGTCTGCAATGCAATTCCCCATCCGCAATTTGGTTAACCTCTTCAGAGGATGGTGTGATAAGAATAAGAGGTAGAAATTGGCTTCAGTTAGTGTAAAAAGACCCCAAAGAAAAGTAGCCAGTTTCTTGGCTAAAAGTTAAAATGTCCTTGGGCCCCTTAGCAACATACTCTGTTCCAAAGGCCAAAAATGTTGAAAGTATTTGGGAGCTCTTGTCTAATCCTTAAAAGATTTTAGGGTTACCTCTTCAGAGGAAGAATGTTAAAGTAGCAAAAAGGCCCATTAAAAAAAAAACAAAAAACAGAGTCCATGAAGTTATCAGAAAAAAGTGATGGGGAGATATGGGAGGAGTTGGAGGGGAGGGAGTGGGCAGGAATTTGATCGAAACACCTTGTTTGCTTATATCCCTGTATGAAATTCTCAATATATTATTTAAAAAAGAAGAAAGTATGTGATTGGTTAGCAAGTACAATCTTCTGAGTAGCTTTTAGTCTATGAATTTATGGAAATTAATAAAAATAATTTAACTCAAAATTTAAATTTACAGCGGTATTGGTGTTCTGATGTAACTTCTTGGTATGGACCAGGACAAATCTTCGATTAGGACAAATGCAGAAAGGGCCTGAAAGCTTTGAAAGCTGCCACTTAGCGTGCATAGGTGACTCCCATTTTGTTACTAGTGAGCGAATGTGAATACCTGGCAAGTGGAGAGGCATGTCCAGGCCTGGATGGGATTTCTCAGGCCGGATGCTGCTGACATGGGGCATCAGGGTGAAGATGCATGCAAAACTAAGCCCAAGGTGACACATAGCCAGAAGACTGAGAACATTGCATCTGAAGGTAGAGGAGGCCTTACCAGGTCTCAGAAGCAGGTCACACCCTAGAAGAAACTGATTCCAGAATGTCTGGCTGTAGTGTCATTGGAACCCACATTATTTCAGACTGAATATATAGGTCCTGCTTCTGGTTCTACCTCATACCAGGTATGCTTGCACCTTCCATATTTCTGCTGCACTGGCTTCTTCCTGTTCTGCTAGTGTGGCAAGCCCATTTCTACCTCAGGACCTTTGCACATGCTGTTATACTCATTTCGATGCCCCCCTCCCCTCCCTTCTCCATATTTACATGATTACTTTCTTCATAACAATCAAATCTTAATTTCTGTCCTATTTGAAAGCAAGTCAGGTCTTACAGATCTGCCAAAGCTCTGTAGTTAAATCATATACTAGCCTGAAAATAATCAGTCTGTGGTCTGCACATGTGCATATTTGTAAGATTTTGTTTTGGGTTTTAAATGGCTGACATTGGCAAAGGGCTTAAATCTTTGTTAGATGAAATTGCAAGAATGGGGGTATGGTGGCCCAGCCCTGTAGTCCCAGATACTTGGAAGGAAGAGGTGGAGGATGATGTGAGCTCACAAGTTTAAGACCTGCTTTAGTAACACAGTAAAACCTTGTCTAAAAACAAATTAATATAATATCATTTTTACAAATTCCACTTCTGTTCCAACCAAACTCAACTGACTTTAGAATAAGTAATTTAGGCAGTTCCATGGGCAATCTTCTGCAGGAAAGCTGAGGGATTCTCAGTTGAGTTGAAACAAATCCTGAGATGAATTTGTTAATAAATAATTTTTTAAAGTAAACCTGTAGGGGACTGGAGAGATGGCTCAGTAGTTAAGAGTGACTACTGCTCTTGCAGAGGTCCTGGGATTTAGTTCCCAGCAAACTCCAAGGGGATCTGACACCTCTGACCTCCAAGGCCACCTGCGCTCATGTGCACATACCCACTCACAGACACACATACATACATTAAATTAAAAATAAAACAAATCTTAGCAAAAGTTAATGAGTTAATGTAGGGTGAAATAGCGATCAGAATGTATATTGAGTTTAAACATGTTATTATATTTAACTTAATGGCTTCACAATAGTCAAAAAAAAAAAAAGAATTTTCTTTAATTATCCTGGCAAAATCCCAGCTAACATGTTTCAACAGTGGAATCCATTTCTAGATTTTACAGCAGAGCTGGGATCTGGTCTGTGAGTTTTGCTGTGGTGAGTGGAGTCTGTATTTAGACAGGGATTGAAGAATGGGCTTTCTGCTGAGACTGAACTCTAGTCACTCGTGCTTGGGGCAAGTGTGATTCAGTGTACAATGACCACTAGTCTCCGTGGTTTTCACCTTCTCTCCGTTTCCCTGCTGTTGTATTCTAACATCCCTCACATGCTGTTGTTTTCAGAAGCTATTTATTAATGCATTTGATAACTTGAAAAAGCCTTGCAGTCAGATCAAATTTAGGTTTTCTCCTCCTTTCAGCATTTCCCACATCACACATGACTGGCCCTTTTGTTCCTATGATATTTATCTTGGAGTTTTCTTCCCTTTGTTGGTGGCAGTGATGTGTGCTTGGGAGATTTTGTATTTATTCTTCAGATAATGCCAGGGGCCTGCAACTCCTGCCCATTCCTCCATGGTCCCTAGATTCCATTTTATAAAGGAGTCCATCCTAGTTATCTTCCTGAAGCACTCTGAGAGTGGTCAACTAGTGGATACCTAGAAATTATCTGGAGCCCATAGAGCTAAATTTTAAATTTTCTGATTACTAAGGCAATAGCAATAAAACTTTTACTGTACAGATATAAAACACTTGTGTTATATGTCAGCAAATTAGTGTTTCCATCCTTTGTGTACTCATTGTTTGTAGTATACTATTCACATTTTATAGACCTTGGCGCACAATCCACCATTTTATATTATGAGCTGTGGAATTCCTATGTTGCCCCCTATTTGGAGCACAGATATTCAAAGTAAGAGATATCAGATACAAAAGTTTTTCTGAGAGAGCAACTGTGTTCTACTTTTCCTTCTTTCCTTCTGTATTTTCCTTTCCTCAGATGAAACAGTCATTTAAGAAAATACAGAAAGCCTAAGATTCTTTTTTAAACTTCTTTTAAACTGGGTATATAACTCAGTTGATAGAGTGCTTACCTGGCCTGTACAAGGCCCAGGGTTTGATCCCTAACACAACATAAACCAGGTGGTATGGGCCTGTAATCCCAACACTGAGGGTGGTGGAAGGAGGAGGATTAAAAGTTCAAGATTATCCTCAGCTACACAGAGTTCAGCTCAAAAGCTATTATAACATATACATACACACTATTTTATAATCTGGCTTTTCTTCATGTGAAATATAAACAATGTGTTTTCATTTAATGAAGTGTTCTTTTGTGACGTGATTTTTAATAACATGACATTTTCCCTGTCAGATGTCATACCATAACCCCTTCTCATGGGAGTAGGTAAAGGGATAGAGAATCAAGCAGACATCTACTTACTAGTTGTTACTATGTCTGACTTATCTGTTCATTCTATGCCTCAGCTGTCTCAGTTATAAAATGGCATAACAGTAGCAGCTTTATATCACCTAATGTGAAGATTTAAAATGTCATTATACTTAAGGCACTTAGAATAATGTTCAATAGATTTTATTATTGGAGCATTATAATGCTATTATCCCAATAGAATAATTGTCTGGCACATGATAAGCACTTAAATACTCATAACTACTACATTTCATTGTTTTAAGTTTTGATGTTAATAATAGTTAATGTTTGAATAAAAGCTCTTGCCTTTACCATTTCTCCAAGATAAAGTTTTATAAGTATAATTATGTCTTTGAGATTGTTCCAGTTACTTTTCTGTTGTGATGAAAACATTGATCAAAAATAAGTTAGGAGAGGATAGAGTTTATTTGGTTCGTAGGTTACCATCTATCATCATAGAGGCCAAGGCAGGAACTGAAGACAGGAGCTTGAAGCAGAAACCATGGAGGAGCGCTGCTTACTGGCTTGCTCCCTAGCCTCTGCTCAGCTAGCTCTCATAAGCCCAGGAGCCCCTGCAACAACTAACAATCAGGAAAATGCCCAATAGACATGCACACAGCCAATCTGATGGCGGCAATCCCCCAGTTGAGACTCCCTCAGATAGTTCTGGGCTATGTCTAGTTGATCGCTGAAGCTAACTAGGAGAGAGAGCTATTGCTAAATCACCTTTACAGAGGTTGTGTGATTCACTGTGTACACTATAGAACCGTATGACAGAAGGCAACTATTGCACCATGTGTGACATTTCTGGAAGGATTCCATGGTGGGAAATGATGACTTTCTAGGTGAGGATCTTTTCAAAATTACTGAATATTGAACAGCTGAGATTTGTGCAACTTACTTTCTTTTTCGTTATTTCTGGCAAAGTTATGAAAATTAAAAGATATGTTTAAGCCAGGCGTGGTGGCACACGCCTGTAGTCCCAGCACTTGGGAGGCATAGGCAGGTGGATCTCTGTGAGTTCAAGGCCAGCCTGGTCTACATAGTGAGTTCCAGGACAGCTGGGGCTACAGGGAGACCCTATCTCAAAAAGACCAAAAAAAAAAAAAAAAAAAGATATATTTTAATTTGGATGTGCCTAGTATGTTAATATGTCTTTTCTTTGAGAAAGTCTTTACATTGATATGATAATTTTCACATCATTAAGGTATTATCTCCCACTGAAATTAATATTTTCTATTTTCAAGAAAAAAGCAGCAAGCCTTGGGAGCAGTCAACCTTCCAGAACTCATGTTGGTGGAGCAGTTCCAGCCACAAAGGTCAGCCATTGTTGAACCCAGGAGGCCATCAGTGGGTGGGGCCTGGAGAGAAGGAAAACAGGGCTCACATGTCACCCAAAACTATTGAACTGGTGTCATTTCCATGTTGGAGGAGAGGAAGCAGCTTCTTAACAATGATTTGAATCATTTAGAATCTAGTAAAATAATTTATATTATAATTATTCCTGGTATATCACTTGTTCAATAGGTATTGTTATCATAGGTATCTGTAGATAGTTTTGGACTTTTGTGAGTGAAGTATTATCCTCTTGATTCTTCAGAAAAGGATTAAAATCTCTCCCATAAGCATTAATGACAGCAGGTTCTCTGCTAAGTGCTCCATGCAATTATTTTACAGACTCCCTCACAACCTATCATTACTATTCCTTTATACATTAGGAAACCATGGTTCAGAGAGGTTAAGTAACCTTGATGAGCTCATACCACCAGTAAGATGGAGGTGGGATTCAAACCCAACTTTCGCATTCATACAGGGTCCTTCTCAATGCTAGGTCCCGTAATCTCTGAGTGTTTTCTTGTAATATTAACACCTCAGAGCTTTGTGTCTCATAAAAGAATCACTGAAATATCACTTGTCAAGTCAAGAAATCATAATTTTAGCTAGTAGTTTTGAATAAAAACAATTGTTCTATTAACTTCAGTTCAACCTTGTAGCCAAAGTTGTGGGCTATCTGTGTATGTACCAGATTTTCTGAAGCCCTATACTATTTCAGAATTATTTGCATAGTATTTTAATTAAGTATTTTTTTTCTTTAAAACTGATGGTTATCCTATGACGTCTGTGAGTTAATTTTTGCCACCTGTTTGATGAATGATTGATACTTTAGTGTCTCCCAGAGTTCCAACATCCTCAAGGAATCAGACCAAGACTCAACTGAGAAGGGAAAAGAAGTCGAGCCTGCAAAATAGGCTGGGCCCAGAACACCACCCATATTTAAGATGCTGATTATGTTTATAGACTTCAAATCTCCCTTCTACCAGCCATTAAAAAAGTATAAAGAACACTGACAGACTGTGAATTTTAAATACAGGAATGCATTAGTGTTTGAGACCAGCATGAATTCTAGACTGAGGTCTGCAGTTTAAGTGTCTGTTGCTGCTGTTGGGGACTCCACAGCATTGATGATTACTGGAGAAGGACTGCTTGGCAGCCAAACACTTCCAAGTTCAGATTCCTCCTTGCTACTTTTTGCTTGGTACAATTGAGCCTCTGCCGCCTCACCAGAATGGGAATGGGCTTTCTCTTGTCAGAGCTATTGCAAAGCAGAAATGAAATGCGTGAAGTACTGTGCCCTGGGCCAAGATCTTGGCACTGTTGGGAAACATGTCTGCTGGGATCACTCTTGTTAGCTCTTATTCTCTGTTGTTGAGGTTCTGGTGAAGATTTTCCAAAAAGGTATTAACTTTATGTAATTAGACTTTGTATTTAACTTACACTTAAATTATGCTTTTATAAATACGACATAATTCATTATAGCAACCCCACTCACATAATGATGTTTAGTGATAGTTTGTTAACCTAAAATTTTGGAGGTACAGTGTACTGTGGGAAACCACATCTAATTTTTTCTGGAGCAAATATATTACCTAAAAGGCCTTTTCCATCATTTTTTCCACACAGGAAACTACCATCTAGTTTTTCTGAGGTGGCATGGTTAGTAAGCCTGTTCTATCTTAAGAAACTGGGTGGCAGCATAGGTGGGAAGTGGAGGCATTTTGACTACATTTTATTTTAGTATTTAAAGCCAAACTTGAATTCTTTCCTTGGCTTCTAAAATGGCCTTTCTGTCCACTAATCTTATGTTTCATCTTGCTCTTCCTTAGTGTTTTTCTGAGTCACTTTCCCTAGTTTCCTGAATAATAGATTTTAGAGTTTAATTCTTCCCTCCCTCCTTTCTCATTCCCTTAACTCTCTGGGACTTGTAGACGAACAACCATAGGTGCTATTTTTGTCACAAAAAGAATATTTGTCAGTGAAAACTATGGGAGCTGAGGTATCCTGCCCTAAGGAAGGACAACACTAGTAGGTAACAGAAGGTGACTTTTATGCTATATTTCCATTAAAAAGCATTCTAACAGGATTTTCTTGGGGAACTATAAAACATCAGATTGTATGTGTTTTCCCTTAATGAGTTCTATTTGACAGAAGGAAAAGGAATATGAAAATAAGGCTGCTTTGGGGACACCTGGAAGGGGAAGGCAGATAGATGTCTCCTGCTCTGACTGACTGTTAAGGTGTGAGCTTCCCTCCTTTAGTGACCCTAGTCCCTGACTGTCACTTCTGTGTTGGCTGAATACAGAGCTGAGGCCTTGCTCAGCTGTCACCAGCTAGGCCCCAGGCTTCTGCTCTCAAGCACTGGCTACTACCACCTTACCCACGTTCACCAAGTCCAGGGTTCAAGGTTGTTATTCAGGCTGATTTATGGCTTTGAGAAAATGATTTCTTCATATGTCTTTTAAAATATGGTAACTGACTGCATCATTTGCTTTATGACTTGGCTTTCTTCTATAAAAGTGTTGCCTTTCCCTCTATTTACTTATTACTTCATTAATCTATGGATAGTTGTTTAGATTCCTCAATACATATTTTTATTTATTTTTAATTGTGTGTGTGTGTGTGTGTGTGTGTGTGTGCACAAGAGTGCAGGTGCCCAGGGAAGCCAGAGGCTCTGATCCCCTTGGTCCTGGAGTTACAGGTGGTTGTGAACCACCCCACATGGATGCTGGGAAGCGAACTCAAGTGCTCTGGAGAGCATTACGCACTGTTAACTGCTTTCCAGGACCTGATTTAATATTTTATTCAATAGTTCCAAATCTATTCTTTGAAAATTTCAATAATAAAATCGTATAATGTAAAATGATTCAGTACAAATCTGATTCTCTGAGACTATTTATGCAATTTTAGTGGTGTCTGAAATCTTGGATTGTAATCCCCATTTGGCCTCAAAGTGGATATTTGGGGTGTGTATGAGCTAAGGGTGCCACTACTGCTGCGTTATTTTGTTAGTCAAACGGTGACAACCTGGCAGCGATAGGCATGTGGCCTGTATCACAGGCTATAGGCTAGGTTAATCAGGCCCAGGGTGTGGGAGCGACCTGTGAGTTCACTGGGTCCTCCCTCAGCAGAAGCTCCTGGATCCCTGCTTGTCTCGGAGGAGGGCGGGGAGCATCCGGTGCCCCGCCCCACCCCGCCCCGCCCCGCCCCACCGCGTCATGCTGTGTGGACTCAGCTAAGGCTCAGAACTGAAACCACCGGGGTAGAGCTAACCAGGAATGCAAACACCCGAAAACCAAGCTGAGGTTTCCTGGGCCCCGTCGTCACACTCAGAGTGAGTACTGATTTGGGTCGCTTTGCTCCAGAACTGCGTCTGCCTTCCCGAGTCCTGCGTGTCCCTGGGCCTGGACCCTGCTTCAGACTCCCAGGCTGGGACGCGTTCTTTTTGCTGTCACCCCAAGCTCTCATTCCTTTCCAGATGGGCTGTAAGTTCGAAGGAGTTTCTCGTCCACCCCTCTTGTCCAGAACACTTTATTAGCTTTACTTAAGATGAGGATGTTTCTGGTGACCGGACGTGAAGGATTACAAAATAAAGGGTTATATGTTCCCCGGACCAAACGCTGAAAGCACAGCAGCAGCTATCCAGTGATTTGGCTTTGCGCTTTGGTTTCTAGCACTAGACCCCCTCCTCCACCCAGAAAGCCTGCGCCCCGCCCCTGCCCATGACCTCTGTTTAGAGAATGAGCTGCAGTGTCTGACCTTTCTATGTGCCTGACACATACTGGGCGTGGTGGGGCAAGTGTTGTAACATGTTTCATTTCTATTTCCTTGAACACAAGCTGATACTGGGGTAGGATAACATCACCAACAGAAACTTTATCTCTTTCAAGAACAAAAAGTGTTTTCTCAGAGATTGAAGGATGCCCTCCGTAGCATTAGGGCTCCAGCATTCTCCAGTTGTAAACACGCACAGAACCAAGTTTTTTATCCCCACTGTACACCTCTATGGAATGAGGCGGAGAGTTTACGCAGTTTACCCACTTAGTGGGACTTAGGAGGCTCTGACTGGTCTTTACCACCTATGCCTCAGCTGCTTATTCAGCAGCTCTGGAAATTCCTGCTGTCCGAGACGTTTTCTAAAGGAAATCTCTGCATTGCAGAGAAGCTCAAGGAGCAGCATGTGGTGCTCAAAGGGGGAAAGTTTATTTCCTGATGAAGAGTTGGAGAGAGCCTGATAATTTGCTTGTGGGCAGGAATTCTACTTTTGTGCACCGATTTTCTGGTATCAGACAGGAATAGTGCATTCTTTGGGGATGTGGTAGGGCGTACTACTTGGGTTTTAGGAGGTATAAAGGATTAAAATGAAGTAGCAAAATTTAGCAAATTCATGCAACCTAGGGAAGGCCACATCTGTAGACTGATGGAAAAGGATTTAGAGATGACCAAAAGCAGTGAGGCTGAGGGGAAAGCGTGTGTGTGTGTGTGTGTGTGTGTGTGTGTGTGTGTGTGTGTACTACCTGTCTGTTACAAACTTAGGCTTTGCAAACTGTGAGACAGTTGTTCAAACGCAGCACATTCAGGTGTAGAATGCTGTCTATGATGCAGTTAGCAGCTTTTAGAGATTCCCACTGCCCGAAGTGAGCTGATTTCATAGAATTCACTAAATTTCAGATTCTTGATTGTTCTCTGGTAGAACTGGCAGATTATATAATGTCTCCCCACAATGAAAATATAAAAGGTATAACATAAAATCATAATTTGGAGGAATGAAACCCAAAAGAAAGCTGCCAGAAGAACACGAGTAGTTATCTGACCTAACTTCTTAAAACTGGCCAACACACGAGTTCCTTTTCATGGTTTATAAAAACTGTTATGGGGGCTGGAGAGATGGCTCAGTGGTTAAGAACACTGACTATTCTTGCAGAAAACCTGGGTTCGAATCTGAGCACCCACATGGCAGCTAACAACTGCCCATAACTCTATT